AACATATTTTCGCACACTTTGTTTGTTTGCATTACTCGTGTCACTCATAAACACATTGTTTGCCAAAAACCAGTGGAAGTAGTGATGACTTATGCTATGAGACGGGCGTTAACTTCGAGAAGGAGTCTGTGGTCGAGAGCCAGGAATCGCCGCAATCGCCGGTCTCTCCCCGAACCGGTCAACGCGTGCGCAGAGAGCGGACACTATCGCTGTCAAAGTCGGCGAAGTCGGCCACAAAGACGGACACAGTATTGCGGACCAGACAGAGGACTATCTACACGTCAGGCCGTCCGCCCTGGTATGACACTCACGGCCAGTCCATCGAGTGCTTTGTCATCGGTTTGTCGCCGAATATTCTGTTTGAAAGTTATCACAGAATTTAATGACAAAATGTGTTGCGATTTCAGGAATATGTGGCGGAAGTGCTTCGGGGAAGACAACAGTCTCTCAAAAGATAATCGAGGCGTTGGACGTGCCGTGGGTTACACTTCTCAATCTCGACAGCTTTTATAAAGTGAGACATTGATTGAATTCTTGACTTAAATCATGGCTAATGTCTGCCATTTGAATGTCAGGTATTAAACGAAGATCAGCACCGGTTGGCGCATAATAATGAGTACAACTTCGATCACCCGGAGTCCTTTGACTTCGACCTATTCATTGAGACCTTACGTAAGCTGAAGGAAGGAAAACGAGTTGAGGTTCCCATCTATAACTTTGTCACACATTCTCGAGAGAAACAGACTGTAAGACTATTTGAATCATTTGATGGTTATATTGACTAAATTCTGTGAAATTCTTGAATTGTATGAACCATTGACTTCGTAGAAGACTATGTACGGCGCGAATGTCATCATATGTGATGGAATACTGATATTCGCCAACAAGACATTGGTTGATATGATGGATATGAAGGTGTTTATAGACACCGACTCAGACATACGACTGGCCAGACGTCTGCGTCGCGATATCACCGAAAGGGGCAGAGATCTGGAGGGTGTCATCAAACAGTACGACCAATTCGTGAAACCCATGTTTGACTTCTATATCCTTCCGTCGATGATTCACGCGGACCTCATTATCCCACGAGGGGGCGAGAATCAGGTGGCCATTGACCTCATCGTACAGCACGTCCACACACAGCTCCAGTCCAAGGGACTCAAACTCAGGTTAGATCTCGAGGTTCATACAACAGGCCTCCGGGACCTGTGCTTCGCATCATATCAAACACCGACTTTACATAACTCTATGCTATTTTAGATCCAAATTGATTAAAATACATATCGATCAACCCCTCCCCCGATCACTCAAACAACTACCCCTTACGCCACAAATCAAGGGAATGCATACTTTTATCCGAAATCGGGAGACAACGAGAGATGACTTCATTTTTTATTCAAAACGATTGATGCGTTCGTTGATTGAGTTCGCGCTCTCGTTATTGCCGTTCAAAGTATGCCATGAATTGAAAACTCAATGAATAAAACAATTACTAAACAAATGAATTGCAATTACAGGACGTAATCGTGGAAACGCCGCAAAACGTCAATTATAACGGAAAGCGAATCAACTGCCAGAAGATCTGTGGAGTGTCTATA